CTCTTTCACTATCCTAATACCCTCCAAAAAGAATAGCCTAGCCTGTTAATGCTTTCCCCATTGGCCATGCATTTCTTTTTTTGTACCCTCTTTTAGTATTGCTGAGATGGCTGCTGTAGCATTTTGCTCCTTGGGCGGCAACCCCATTAAACACAAAATTCTCTTTCATTACCTGTAGTGTCTTTCAACTCCTCATATTGTTGTCTTGTTTGAGGATTGGCCCATGAGCCTGAAATGCTGAAATGTTGAAGTTTCAGTCCTTAGGTACCTTGGCACAGTTTCCTATTTGGCCAACAGAAATCTCCTGAAGATTTACAAGGAGGAAGGTTTTGCAAGGAGAAGGGGGGGAAGGTCCACACCAGGAGCAGAATAACCCCTTGCTCCAGGACAGGCTTTAACAGGACTGGCTGAGGAGCGGCCTTGAGGAGTTGAGCATGGGAGTTATGATGGATGCTATATGCACCAGTGGGCTTCCCCTTTCAGTGGGTGGATGGAGAAACTGGAGAAGGTCCAGAGGAAGTCTGTCGTGATGGGGTTTTGGCTCTGAAGCACATGAATATGGAATATATGGAAAGGCTGAGGGAACGGAGCCTCTTCAGCCTGCTGAAGGAGAGGCACAGGGCACTCTAAAAGCAAGTGACGCCTACCTGAATAGATCATGGTGGAGCCAAACTCTTCTCTGGTGGAAGACGGTATGGCAGAGGCAACTGCCACAAAGTGCCTCTTGAGAACTTCACCCTGGGCAACAGGAAAATCTGACTAACAGGCTGGTGCTGCAGTGCAGCAGGACACCCAGAGACTCTCTGTGATCTCCATCTCTGGAGGTTTTCAGGGTTCAACTCCACCAGGAGTTGAGGGTCTCTACAGCATAAGCTCTTGGGACAATGCAGGGTGCAACTGCCCTGTGCTCAGGAAGTCTCTCGTCCTGCCTTTGGTTCCAGGTAGGGCCAGCTCTGAGGTCAGAGCCGGTTGCTCAACTGTTGTGGTTTGAGCTCAGAGGGTATCTGAGCACCACACAGCCGCTCACTCCTCCCTTCCTTCCCAGCAATGAGAAGGGACAAATAAGCCAGGCTTGGGCTTCAAGATAGGACCAGGAGGGGCAAATTACCCATAATGGTCACAGGCAAAAGGCAAACTCGTTAGGGGAAGAAAAAGAGAACATAGATATATTACAGACACTAACAACAACACATAGCAGAATAAGACAGTGAGAAGCATTGCCCCGTCTTGAGAACACCTTCCCCCCACCCCTCTCTTCTTCCCAGGCTCAGCTCTGCTCCCGATATCTCTACCTCCTCCCCCAGCGGCGCAGGGGCAGGGAATCGGGGGGTGCAGTCAGTGCTGCCTTTTCTTCCATCTTCGGTGGGGGGAGCTGCTGGAACTTGTTCCCCTGCTCCATCATGGTCCCCCTCTCACAGCAGACAGTCCTCCACAAACTTTTTCCGATGTGACTCCCTCCCAAGGGCCGCAGCATTTCCCTACGCTTCTCCAATGTGGGGCATCAACTTTCTCCAACTGGAGTCCCTCCCATGGGCTGCAGCCCTTCCCAAGCTGCTCTGGCGTGGGGCACCCCCACATACTGAAATCCTCCCAGCGCTGAACTACAGTAACAGTGAGGTCTGCCTTTTCCCGCATGATCCCAGGTTTTTTTGGGCACTGTCACCTTGGTGATCTATGCAAAACACAGACCATAAATCAGTGTCTGCCCCACCGTGGATCTTCATGGGTGGCAGGGGGAGGGACACCCTGTCATCTCACCAGAGGATACAGGGGGGTCTCTGCTCCAGCACACCTCCCCCCTCCTTTCTTCCTCCGTTCCTCCATTGACCTTTGTGTTCACGCAGCTGCCTCAATTCCTCGTTACAAGTCCCACTCCTTCTCACCACGTCCCTTCTTAAACATATTAGCGCAGAGGCGCAGTTGACTGCCTTGGCCTTGGTGTGGAGGTGGGGCAGATTTGGAGCCGGGGAAGCTTCAAGAAACTTCTCCCAGGGGCCATCCCTATCGCCACCTCCCTCGCTACGAAAAACAACCCCACCACTCACTGAAACCCAGGACAACAATACAGGGAAACACTGGGTGATCCCCAGGCCACCCCTCGTCCCCATAGAGTGGTTCCAGGACACTGGGGGACACTGTGTGGGGGACATGGGAACAGTGAGGAGATACCCAGGCCACCACCCATCCCCAGAGCAGTGGGGTCCCAGTGGGGTCACTGGGGGGAGTCTGCCACCATCTAAGGGTCCCGTTAGCTTTCCTGAGTGTGTGTGTGTGTGGGGGGGTTGGAACAGTCCTCTCAGGCCTCTGATTTGGGGGGGACAGTGGAGGGGACAGCAGGAGAGGCAGTGGCGGAGGGGCACAGTCGGGGTCCAGAATGGTGGTGCCTTTAGGGGTCCTGGTGCAAACATTGGTGTCACTGGTGGGGGGTGTGGACACCATGATGTACTTCTGGACGCTGCCTGTGGTACTGGGGACCATGGGCTCCACTGCCACCAGTCTGACCATGGGCTGGACACTGGGGAGAGTGGTGGTGACAGGGGAGGTGGCAGTGGGTGCTGGGCTGGTGCTGGAGGTGATCACCTGTGGGAATTGGTGAATTTGGGAGGACATGGGGACAGTGTGGGACACAGGGCCACAGGGACTGGGGGGAATGGTGATGGGGATTGGGGGGATGGTGGGCTCAGGCAAGGTTGCTGTCACAACAGGGACCCCCTGGACCACATCTGAGGAGATGATGTCCACATCTGAGCTGGCCTCGTGTGCTCTTCATGCCCACAGGGGTGTTCAGAGGCACGAGTCCTTCCCTTGCACACGCAGAGGCAGTGCACTGTCACAACTGTAGTGTCTCTCTGGCCTCCAGTTGCTGCTCCCAGAGGCTGGCAGGCACCTGAGCTTCGCAGTGTACCACCCTGCTCTGCACTCCTCTGAGGTGCCCCGAGGCATGAGGAATGGACACGGGGACCTCAGCTCAAGGAAGCACATCCCAGTGCTGCATTCTGGTGGGTTCCCAGGGGACAGTACGCTCAAGGTGAAGTGACTGTGAGACACTGTCTGTCCCACAGACGTTCATGGGATCCCCGGGAATAGCTGAGGGCATCTGTGCTCATTCAGGTTCATCTCCCCACGTGCACACAATTTGCATACTCACGACTCATCTGTACAATGCAAACATGGACTGCTGACCTGGTCACTCAGTGTCCCTCCATGGAGGGATAAACAACCTCTCTGAGCTGGGGTGAGAGGCCCGTGCTGGAAATGGTGGTTGTTCCTGACTGGTGTGTGACGATCACTCTGGGGCAGCTTTCCCCAGGTGTTCAGAGCACACGGGCAGAGGGCAGGTCCTGCCCTGATGGTCCTTCATGTCTCTCCCAGGAGAGGCCTGGCTGTGTGAGGACACAGCTGTGTGCCCTGACCTTTCACACTCACACACTTCAGCGGTACAGCGGTGTTATCCCTTGCCCAGCACTGCTGCACCCAGACATCTCAACCCCCTCCCAGCTCTCCCCACTCCCCAGCCTTCTCCCCAGCCGAGCAGAGCAGCCCAGTCTGGTCTGGCCCCGCAGAAAGGAGGAGATGGAGGTTACTGTCAGTGTCTCTCCTGCTGTCATGGCCTGGAGATCACCTGCTAGGAGCCTTCAGTCCCCCGGGCCAGCCCTGCTCCCCAGGACAGCACAGAGTCCTGGCCCTGGGACTCCTCAGGCAGCTCCCACTGCCCTCAGCTGGCACCCACAGCAAAGAATTTCTCTTTTCATGTCTCCCTTCCATGCACACAGTGTCCTGCTCTTCTCCCAGGACATCCCACCTCTCCACAGGACCTTTCCTCAAGGTGGGCACATCTGTGCTGGCCTGGACAGCCAGTTCTGCACCCGCTTTCCATACTCTCCACAGCCCCTGAGCTGCTGATGCTGCTCTGAGGAACAAGTGGGCTTGCCTGGGGCCCCAGGATGATTTTACAGTGCTGTGCTGGTCAGGCTGGGAGGCAGACCCAGCTCAGGGACATCACTGCCACCGACTGCCTCCCACAGAAGCTCTTATGTGGCCATGGAGGGTGCTCAGAGGTACCCTGCCTTATTTCCCACACCACAAGATGTGTTTGGATGCTGCACTGGATTCAGGCTACAAGAGTCCACTGATGGTGGAACAAATCACTCACCAGGCTCCTTTCCCTGTGCCTGCTGTGTCCCTTGGGGGTGCAGAGCCCTCACTCAGCACTTCACACCCAGATTTAGCACTTTATACCTGGGTCCCTCCACCCTGGACATGTTTGTGTTCAGTGGGCTCCACTCACTGCTGACCTCCTGGCACACGCTGATCCTGCAGATCACCTAGATCACCTGCACTCTGCTGGCAGTTCCAGACTCCTTCCAGAAAAAAAATTCACCTGCCATCAGTCCTATCACATGCTGTAGAGCTCCAGGGAGTTTAACTGGAGATCATTCACCATCTGTGTGGGTGCTGTCCAACAAGTAACACCTGAGCCATTCCTCAGTCCCTGCAAGACCATACTGGGAGCCATCCCACTGAGCCCATGGGGAAACAAGCAGAGAAACAGTCCGCTTTGGAGTCTATTCCTTGGGCATCTTGGAAAAATCCCTAAGCGTTTGGGCACTGCCTTGAGGAGATCCCCTTTCGTGATGGAGATGCTGTTAGAGAGGCCAGCTCTGTCACAGATCTGCTGTGCAGGGACTCTGTATGCAGGAGCTGACGCAGCAGCACCAGAGAAGGTCTTGGAAAAAAAGCCTCAGACAAAAAAGTCACTGCAGGGTCCTTTTCAGTATTTAAATGCAGAGGGTGTGGAAATTCATTTACACTGTCTCTGGGTCAAACTGGACAGATAGATAATGAAATTGAAATAGTAAGAATAGTGAAAACACTTTATGGACAACTTAGAAGTGAAAAAAAAAAAAAAAAATCAACAATAACATCAACAACTACAAAATATATAAAAGACAGGAAGACAGGTTGAGACTGTAATGAGTTATATTAAAAGTGATATGGAGAAGATGGGCAGTATATTGCTTCTAAAAAAAACATCTGGTCATCAGTTTCTGAACTGCATCCTTGAGGTTCTGGTTCCTTATGCTGTAAATGAGGGGGTTCAATGCAGGAGGAACCACTGAGTACAGAACAGCCACCACCAGGTCCTGGAGTGGAGAGGAGATAGAGGGGGGCTTCAGGTAGGCAAAAAATGAAGTGCTGATAAACAGGGAGACCACGGCCAGGTGAGGGAGGCACGTGGAAAAGGCTTTGTGCCGTCCCTGCTCAGAGGGGATCCTCAGCGCGGCCCTGAAGATCTGCACATAAGACAGCACAATGAAAACAAAACAAGCAAAGAATAAACAGGCACTAACCACAATAAGCACAACTTCCCTGAGGTAGGTGCCTGAGCAAGAGAGCTTGAGGATCTGGGGAACTTCACAGAAGAACTGGTTCACCACATTGCCATGGCAGAGTGGTAGAGAAAATGTGTTGGCAGTGTGCAGTGTGGCATAGAGGAACCCAGTGCCCCAGGCAGCTGCTGCCATGTGGACACAAGCTCTGCTGCCCAGGAGGGTCCCGTAGTGCAGGGGTTGGAAGATGGCAACGTAGCGGTCATAGGCCATGATGGTGAGGAGAGAAAACTCTGCTGTAATCAAGAAGAGAAGCAGAAACACTTGCGCGGTACATCCTGCATAGGAAATGGCCGTGGTGTTCCAGAGCAAATTGGTCATGGCTTTAGGGAAAGTGGTGGAGGTGGAGCCCAGGTCGAGCAGGGAGAGGTTGAGGAGGAAGAAGTACATGGGGGTGTGGAGGTGGTGGTCGCAGGCGATGGCGGTGATGATGAGGCCGTTGCCCAGGAGGGCAGCCAGGTAGATGCCCAGGAAGAGCCAGAAGTGCAAGAGCTGCAGCTCCCGTGTGTCTGCAAATGCCAGGAGGAGGAACTGGGTGATGGAGCTGCTGTTGGACATCAGCTGGTTCTTGACATGGGGACAGTGGCCTAAGAAGGAAAAGATGGGACAATTGTGACAGACTGCACGCAAAGCCACTGTATTTCTCAACAAAATCCCTCCCCCCAACTCCCAATTCCAACACATTTCCTTTGTTTGCTCTGAGGAGCAGGACCTCTGCCCATGTGCTGCCAAGGAGCCAGCTCTGCCCTGCTGCCGTGAGGACATGGGAGCTGGTTCTTGTCTCCTCCAGTGTTCACAAGGGATGTCAGATGCAATTCACTCTTAATAGAGATGTTCAATATCTGCACTTATGACTCCCAAGAGAGTGGGATGCAGAAGAGAGGTTTATCATGTGTTATGATAACTTTCTCTGTGTCTTTTATTTTCCACCGTCATCACATCTGGTGAGTACTACTTCTAGGGGTAGAAATCCTCAACTTTATGACTGAAAGTGTGGAGTCTTAAGACAAGACAGGCAAAAGGGCTCAGCTGTCTCTTGCTCAGTGCAGAGTCAGGAGAGCAGCAGTATCAATCAAGCTTGTTCCCAGCTGCCCTGTGCTTTCATTTCTGCTATCTGGAGGATGACTGCACACAAAAATTACTCTCAAAAAAAAAAAAAAAAAATGTAACTGGACTCTAATGAAAGCAGGGGAGTCTTGTTTCTCTTATCCGCAGGGAAAGGTCTGAAAAATCTTTTTACCACCACAGAGGTGCAGTTTTGAGGGAGAGGGCAGGACATGGCCCCTGTCAGAGAGAAGCAAAGGAATCTGCGAGGAGACTGACAACCCCCAAGGGATGGCTCAGCACTCCCTGGGATCCTGCTTGGAGCTCTATTTGCCAGGAACTGTTCCTCTGTCCCCACATCTCCTCCCTGTCCCTGCTCACGGATCCCATCCCACCCACCATGTCCTCAGCTCTGCCCAGAATACACCTCCTGGCAGCAGGACACTGACCAGGGGGATCTCTGTGCTGGCAAGTCTTGAAGAGAATTTCAGATAAACCCTGAAGAGACCACAAAGGTGATGTTAATGCTTTCTGTAGGCTGAGGTGGGTGAAGGGACTTTAGCAGGTTTCCTGATAAACCCATTCCTCACTCACTGTAATGCTGTAGGAGTGTTTGTCTCTTGTGCAAACCTGAACAGATCCATGACCATATCCACCTACCATCACAGCTGGGGAGTGAAAGCACCAATCCTGGTAAGTTCCTTTACTGCCTGGTAGCACCCCGCCTTGATGTCCTTCTTGAAAAGTGCCCTGTGAAATATCCCAGGGGCAATGTGGAGCTGCAATCAGCCCTGACCCATGCAGCAGCCTCTCGATAGCAGAACAATCCTGCCCCGCCGTAGAGTGGCTTGCTCCTTACCCCACAGCTTCTCCCCACAGCGCTGTGAGGAGCTACCTGGGCAGGCTGAGTGCTGACCCTGGTAGGCGGCAGAGTCCCTGCCCCAGCACACAGCCCCCTGGAGTGCAGGGACCCTGCTGGGAAGGACAGCCCTGGGCACCCCTGCCTGCACACCCGGCTGCACACCCCTGCAGCCGGCCCCGCCAGAAGGCAGCCCTCATGCTCTGGCCCTCACAGGGGGCACCAGGGAAGCCCTGCTTGGGAGCAGCTACTCTTCCTCCTCCTCCTCCTCCTCCTCCTCCTCTAGGGAGGAGGCAGATTCCTGGTGGGTCTGCCGCCTTCCCCAGATCCCTCCCTGAGCTGCAGCTGCATTGCCCTGCACCCCCAGACTTACTGTGGCCAGGGCCCTGATGCTTTCTCCTCCTCGGACCTCTCAGCATCCTCCCAGCCCAGGCTGCCTTGAAGCTGTGTGTGCCTCGCTGCTCTGCCCTGGGTGCCTGCAGGCAGTGCCCTCAGCCCTGCTGCGCTTTGCAGAGGAGCTGCTCCTGGGCAGAGCTGTCTCTCTGCAGCGCTGCCCACTTGCCAGGAGCTCCCTCCGGCCCAGGAGCCCGGCCCAGCTCAGCACCACAGCAACAGCCCAAGGCACTTTAATGACCCCTCAGGAGGGTTTGGTGCCAACTCCATCAACCTCATGCACTGAGAAGCTGAAGAAACCTCTGAAGAAGTCAATGTTATATTCCAACTCCAAAGTTTCCTGCACTGTTAATGGCTCCCACTGAGAGACACTGTTGACAAAGCCTCCTCAGGGTCCTGTTAGAGCAGAATTCTGGAGGCAGTGATGACAAGTCAAAAACTAAAAGGGAAAGGTGGCTCTGATGCTGAGTAAACCTGAATGTGTTGTATTAAGCCAAAGTTCCAAGCCCTAGGCCCATTAAATAAATGGCCAAGCCATGACCCCCAGCCCCTGGGAAGGGAGATCCTGTCCCTCCCACATTCCTCAGGGCTCTTCCTGGGGTAGGGGCTATGGAGATGTGCACCTCCCAGGCTCCTGAGGATGCACAAGGAGGCCATGAGGCCCCCGTGCTGCAAGGGACTGTGCCTCCTCACAGGCATCAGTGGCAGAGACAACAGCCATAGCCAAAATGGTGATGGGGTTGACTTTACTGGGGGCTTTCAACTTTCCCACAGCCCTCTGTCATCTCCACCACAGGCTGTCCAATGTGGTTGCATGCCCTGGGCCTTTTCCCCTGCAGGCTGTCCTCATCCCCCCAGTTTTGTCCCCTGGAGAATGCCAGGGGAGAAATTACCTGTCCTCATCTCCCCCAGCCTTACAGCCATGAGGCCCCAGTGCTGTAAGGATTAGGTGTCTCCTGGTAGGCCTGCAGTTGATTTCTTGAAGGCTGGGGACATCCACCGTGCTTACCAGCCTTGCTCTCACTTGACCATCTTCCTACCCTTACTGATATCTCTCCATCCTCACGGGCTGTTGGTTGGAATGCAAAGCTTTGGCTAATCCAGACTCTTTCTGGGTGGCCTATTGTACTGCACTTGGAGGGACGCTTCATGTAGCTCAACGTAACACAAAATCCTCATGTCCAGTCTCAACTTCCAAAGCTTCACTTTGTGCCATTCTTTCTTTCTTATGTTGTTTCTCGATTTAGAGAAAAACCTCCACCATCTCTGAAACCACACTTCAACCCATGTCAGGATAGTCTGGGTGGCCATGCTCATCCTAGTGCAGACCTGTATGCAGGTGGCCTTGTTTGTGGCCAGCATGCACCGCTGTCTTGTATGGTGTCCTCATAGTGCCCAGGCCCATCTCCTCAGAGTCCCTGATCAGCTACTCAGGTCCAAGCCTGTCCTGATAAATGAGGAGATTATTCTTCCTCTTAATGCAGGACTGGACACTTCTCCTTGTAAACTTCAAGAGGTTTATGTTGGCCGGAATCCCAGAGTTTCTCAGGTTTCCCTGGGCTGAAGCTCCACTTGGTCAGCTGTTAGTGCCTCTGTGCAGATAGCTCACCTTGATGGTGGTGGTGTCTCTCACGTAATAACAGCCTGAGGAGCTGCAGGGCTCTACAGCCCCAGGTAGGAATTACCATCAACACAATCTTCAAAACAGCAAATGAGATCACAAAACAAGCAAAGTCAGGGTCAGTGGAGAAAGGGTAAATGAGGGTTGGGCTATTTGTATGTTAGACCGTGTTAGTGGAAAATATATACCTGTAGAGAGATTGAAACAATAAGGATCTCTCCAGAAGCTGGTTTTAGGCCCTCCAGCTGTCTGGGACCTGGATCCAGAATTCCCTCATCCCCCCAGTTCCTCCACACACAGACAAGCACACGCACACGCAAATGTCTCTCTCCAGCACAGCATCACAGAACTGCTGAGCCTGGAATGCTGTCAGGTTCTACCTCCTCTGTCCTTCCTCTTCATGCTTGGTTTCTGTCAGGAGCTCCTTTTTCATCCATGCCATTCTCCTGACACCTTTTCTTGACTTTCAGCATGTCTGTGTGGACTGTTCTGGAGTGCAAAGAGGAGATCATTAACCATCAAACAGCTCTCTGCACCCTTTCCTCTTCAGGGCTGTATCCCATGGGATTCTTCCAAGCAGGTCCTTCAGCAGGTCAAAGCCTGCTCTCCTGATGTCCTGCCCCTTGCTTTCTTCCCTTCTCTCAGCATGCTACACTCTACTTTCTCACCCTTGATTGTTACAGCCCCGAGCAGCTCTTCCTAGTTTGCAAGTATCAAGTCCTGCTGCAGGGCCCCTCACCTCACTGTCTCCTCAGTCACCCTTGTCAGGAAGATGTCACCAGTGAGCTCCAAAATCCTCCTGGGTGGCTTGCACCTCTTCAGCAGAGGCAACTGGGACAGTTTCAGCCTGCCATGAGGTCCAGGGCCTGCAGACATGAAGCTCCTTCCAATTGTCTGAAGAAGGCCTCATCTACCTGATCAAGAGGTCTGGAGCAGAAATCCACCCATCCTCCCACAGTGCTGCCCATGTTGTTCTGCCCTCTGATCCTGGCCTATCAGCTCTCAGCTAACTCATCGTCAGTCCCCAGGCAGAGCTCCATGCATTCCTGCTGCTCTCTTACATAAAGGACAACCTCCCCTCCAGATCCAGAACTGTGGCCTTATCAGTACCTGACTGCAAGACCCCACATTTTCTCCAGGTGCTGCTTTGGGCCACTTTCTCCCTCAAACAACCAACTCACAGATCCTCTGAGCTCACCAGGGTCTAGTACAGATGTAGGGTCTCAAAATACCTGGCTCCCAAGACTCTCCTACTTGCTGGTTAATTTGGTTTGATGTGCATTAGTGGTTCCACCCAATGACATAAGCACCAACATGACACATGCACACAGCCTGATCTCTCCAGTTGCTGGCCCACCAGGTGCATGAGCGCCTTTGACTCGTGTTTCCCACTCCAGGGATGGGCCCTTGGACCTCTATCCGTACCAAGAGCAGACATCTCCTCACCCCAGAAAGTTGTGGTGGATGGAATTTCATAAGACAGGACAGACTGGAGTCATCAGTTGCATGGTGTGCATAAACCAATATAATGACCAGCCACACATGACCAGCTCCTTTCATCCCCTTTTCCCCCTGTTTTCCGATGCTTCTTTCTCCCCAAACCACCTTGGTCCTTCCCTTTCCCTGCCTTTGGTTCTTTCC